GTCAACTGTTCAGAAAAAGGGTCCTCCCCATATCAATCAATCAACCAAGGTGTGATTTCTTGATTTCTTGACCTCGCATTTACATTTGCTGGGACGATCTTCGCCAAACATGTTTCAACAGCTTACAAGATGATGATGTCTCCCCCATAGATTTTCCAGGTTTCAACTTTTCAGCATCTGGTGGTTGCTTAAGCAAGCAAATGGTCATGAAGTTGGGGGTAATGAGCCATACACCATGCCAGAAACCAACCATGTGGCGATCATTTTCAATCATCCCAGTAATACTGGCATACCATCGCATTGGGGATGGCGGCTAGCTTCTGTGCACAATTAGCACAGAACTATTTCATACATATCCCATGATTTCCCATGTCATCTCATATATTCCCATGCCTCTGGTAGCTATTTCAGATGATCCCACAATAACGGGCTAGTTTTCCATTTGCATTAGGTTTTTCACATTTTACTATATTTTCCCATCATAGAACTTCCGTTTTGAAGGGATTTTTCAGCCATGTTTGATGCCACCGGGTACCAGCAACAGCTCCAAGCGATCCAACGACCAGGCACTGGAGGAAGCCCGTGCTGTCCAAGCGACGCTTTGCTGCTGTTTCAACCGGTGGATAGTCCCATCCACAACTTTGAATCAGGTAGGATGGGTAATATATGCTGGTTGGTGGTTTGGAACGTTTTTTTCCATAATATATGGGATAATCCTTTCCATTGACTAATATTTTTCAAGATGGTTGAAACCACCAACCAGAGATATATATATATATATATATCTATATCTATATCTATATATAGCTGATCCAAGAATATACAAATTGGATATAAAAAAAATGTTAAATAACTAGAAGGTAAGTTCCGAAAATCCATAGTGGTGATATTCTAGTTTGATGATAGTGGGAATATTATCCATTGCGATCAACAATCTACAAAACAGGGAAATTATTGGTTATAGTATGTTATCGTAACCTTTAAGTATGCAATTACTTGCTCCCTCTCCCTCTCTCTAACGACCTCACTGCGACCTCACTGGAATCATGGTTAATAAGAGGAATCATCCCAAAATTGCCTTATTTCAGGAGGGTGTCTGGCCCAAGCTCTCACGCAGCACACCTGACAGGCTTTGTAGGTCTGCTGATTGGGTCTCGCTACATTCGATTTGCCATGTCACGGCCCGCTATGTCCCTTCGACCACTGGAGAGCATGGAAATCATGGGTCAACCAATCTTGTTCTGAATAGTCACTGTGTTGGTCGAACGAACTTTTTGGATCTTTTTGGTGGGTGACTGTGAAGCCATCAGCAACACCAATTTGTGGCCTGCTACCTGTTTTGGGCATACAGGAAACTCATGCGGACCCGCAATCAATGACTTCCATTCCTGGGACGGCATGAAGCCAACCGGGGCCATCACTGTGAAGTGGCACCTCAACACGCCAAGACCAACACCGACATGCCTTGTTCTGTTTTTTGATGCGGTCAATCCAGAAGATCCAGAAGGGGGGTGCAAGTGATGGACTCAACATTTGCATTTTCCTTGGCGGACATGTTTGATTTGGACAACCTATCCCATGAACACCATGGTTGATCGTCAAGGACACGTTCGCGTGGACATCGTGTGCTGCTTTCGCCCTAGGGCGGGGGCAGTGCAGTTCTTCTTCAGGGAAATAATGTCTTATTTCAGGTTGGTGAATGAAAAAAAATTGCCCGGAATAACAATAATGGATGGATTAATGGAACAGTAATAATGGTTCTGATAATAATTATGATGCGGTAGAATTATCCCATCAATGGTAGTTTAATGCATTAATGGATGAATGGATGATAAGATCAGGTTTGATGATGTTTAAAAATCAACCTGATGTTTCAGTTGATGTGCATGCCTCCTGGGGATGTTAAAAACTCTAACACAATGGATCAACGGATGGATAATGTTGTTAATGATTGATGGTTAATGATTGATGTTTAATAATGGATTAATGATTGGTTAACTTTAATCAGGTAATTAGTGGATGGATGGATAATCTCATATTGGATTCATAATGGATTATTTTTGTGGGCCAAAGGCTGACCATGTATTTATAGGTGGATGTTATTATTCTCAGGGCAAACGGCATGCGTTTAATCCTTGGATGGTGTGCCAGAATCTTTGGGAAGCATACTCGATTTAAACAATGCAAACATCAAAATTTGGCCATGTTTTGGAATATTTTCCGCTGGTGGCTTCAAACAGTTCTTCCTTTTCAACTACCTTTTGGCTATTTAACATAGCTTTGGATTGACATTGAGCAATGGCTTAACCCGTTTTTTTTGCTTGGATAATGGCAAATAGACTGGGCAGCTAAAACAACAATTCATTCATTTGTTTTGGTGCACCTGTCAGCATCCAATTCTTTGGGCAAACCTCGGTAATTGGATTTTTATTTGTTTACTTTCTGAGTGGAATGATGCTACTTCGGTTGTTGGAGGTTATTGGGAAATCGTGGGGAAACTTATCAACCAGGCAACCGTTACCCCCATAGCCGCCATGGCCCAACTTCACCAAGGAATCTCCAGGCCCAGCTGGCCAAGAAGCAAGAAGCAAGTTGTGGATCCAAGATTTGTTGGGATAAGAAAGGTGCTGGGGATGGTCATCCTATCATTCATATTTTTTTTGTGGTTTTTATATACGCAATCCCTTCCCCCTAATATTCAATACCCCCCATGGTCTAGGCCGGGATTTATACTTATTTGGAACCATTTTGGTGTGTTTAATATTAGGGGGATGGGATTATATATGCATTCACAGGGTTTTGTATCCGTTCTTAGGATGTGCATTATGGGATTGATGACCATGCCCCCTATACCATGTTTTGACTATGGCAGGTGTGGCAAACATTGGTAAACAGAATAATGAACCTCAACATGTTGACAAAATGTTCATACGACCGATGTCGGGTAAACTTAGGAATGCTTTTATCACTTGTTGTTGTGTGACAGGTTTGATCTGGTAGACTGCCACTATTAACGGAGAGTATGGTATTTAATCATATTTAATCGTTAATGGGGGTATTACAATTGAATACATTGATGTGAATAATGGTGCATGTCATGGTCAATGTGGTAAAACCCGCTGATAAACCATCCCAATCTTGAAGAAGTTGCTTCTGTGTTGTATCAAACATCCCCAATATCCGGTTTATTATGTCGTTTGTGTTTTCAAACATCTTGTGTTTTCCATCCCCAATCTCAGGAAAAATGGATCGTAGAAACTACAAATCGTACTAAATCATTCTCAGCTTCGGATAAATCGCCGGGTTTACCAGACATTTATTTTCAGGATGAAGATCAACAAATGTTGACAACAATTCTTCTCTGCACTGGTGAAGTGCGATTTGTTGGGGTGGTTTCAACATGTTTCAACCCCAAAGACCATCATGTTGGGAAGCTCAATTCGTTGCACGACGCATAGCGGATGGCCATTGACCCACCACTTCCTCCATTGTCGCGGTGGTTGTTGGTTGTTGTTGGTTATCCACATTTTGGCCAATCAAAGTTCCTAATTTGTTGGTTGGGTGCCATTGTTGCTGATCATGGTAGGGCCAACCGTTTGTTGCCAGCGTTTTTTTGGGCCATAAATACCTTTTTGTAATCAAACATGGTTTGCTAGAAACCTAGCATTATTTATTTTAAACGTTTTTGTTTGCCATGAAAACCTCCATGTATATTGGATTTCCCATGTTTTCCTATCAACACCTCTCTTTATATTATATAAGTTTATATAGATGTTTCTTATATTTTCCCATCAAGACCTCCATTTTGATCAGCGATTTTCCTGGCCATTTTTGACACCACATTTTTTCCACAGTGACACCCTTCCCACGACGTTGTTCGAGGCCAGGTTCAGGCGAGCCGGGGTTGGAAGCTACCAACTGCTGCAAGATTTCTTCCACAGTAGGGGGTATACTTGATGGTGGTGAATATTCACCTCAGATACCCTCTGGTTATTTAACATAGCCATGGGAAATGGCCAATAGAAATAGATGGTTTACCTGGGTTTACCTATCAAAAATGGGTGGATCTTTCCATGGCAAACTGTTAGTCATAACCAGAGGGTACTTCATAATGCCTCATTGCTTGGGGATCTTTGAGAGGCGAAATCCCTTGGCTGGATTTCTGTTGGTGAAACCAGGCCCCTCTAATCGAAAAGGTGGATTTGAGCATGAGCCATGAGGATAGCTTCGGGGTGTTCAAGCTCAGTTACCTATCTGGATTCGTGGCATTTCAACGTGTGGGTGCCACAGTTCCATGTTGAATTTCTAAGGGGTTAAATTTGAGGAATTTCTGCAATGAATGCAGTGAACAAAAAGAACCAAAAATCAGGAAACAACATCTGAAAGAATGGAACAGCCGCCATTGAACACTTGCTTTCCTGTAAAGTTTAAATTTGGACAGGATGCGTCAAAGTTCTGAGATCATAGGAGTAGTTTACATCACTGATCCCGTTTAAGGTACATCAGCCACCTTTTTCAGCCACTTTTTAGATGTCTCAAAGCAGCCTCAATTGAGACATTTTGAACACTGTCCAAGGTCGACAATGCCATATCGTGTTCCAAAAAATGTTCAGGATTGCTCGACATGACTGCAATTCTGTTTTTTAACACATCCATTTGCCCGAATCCAACTTCTTGGTGGTTGAGGGCTAAGATATGCTAAGATGAAACTCCACGAAATGTGATGCGAAAGATGATGTTCCCCTTGCAAATTGGCAACGCATGGGTTCATATTGGTGCCATGTGTTTTTTCCGTTTTTCCCTTCAGAAATTGCATGAAATTGCCATTTGATTCTTGGTTCCAGTTGGTGAAATCACCATGTTCCCTCGTGATGGTGAAATCATATAAACAACCATGTTAAATCGCCATTTATAAATTCTATAATTCATACATAGTACATAGTTCCAGTATGTTCCAGGTCAAGTTCACAGGTTAACCCTGATCACCACCACCCGGCCCCGCCATGGCGAGCAATGCTTTGCCGCCGGCGCTTTCTTCGATGTCAGTGTCGCTGCCGGAGCAGCAAGTTCTGCAAGCCATTTGCATGAAAAAGACCCTGGTTGATTTGTGAATTTGTTTGGGACTTATACTACCCGGTATTACGAACCATTGCGCCATTTTACTGCTGAACAAAAAACGATTATACCCATATAGTAGGGAAAGTGTTTTCAACCAACTAGTATTTCATCGATTTCATGAGATGGGATGGGGATATTTTTGATGGTTCATTTATGTGTGGGAGAAGCCATGACATTGGAACGAATCCGATCACCAGGGATACGATTCATGGATCTTCCAAGTGCCTCGCTGACACCGCAACAAAGAGGCAAACACTATGTTTCAATGCTGCTTCGCAGTTCTCTCAAAGATTTTCCGAACATACAAAATGAATCAGCCTTTTTTTCTTTGAAGCCAAGCTGTTTTTTTGTTTGAATATGGGTTGTTATACTTTCGTCTACCATTTTTTAAAGGGTAACCGTGACCCATATGCTCCATGTATAGAATATTTGCCAACATTTACCACCAAAATGACCCAGCTTTTTAGGTATATATGCCAGCACCATGGAGCATCTGGGTGATGATCAGCTATGAAGCGATTGGAAACCGAACCGAGGCGCTGCTGGACGCCACCTTCCTCCGTCGCCGCTCCATGGACCGTCGCGGCCCGCTGCCCAGGCGGCTGCGGCTCCGAGCAGCAGCCGCAGCTGGCGCAGCAAGTCGGAAGGAGTTCGACCTGTGGAGGTGGCCGTGGGGTCTTGGGGGATGGTGGGATGGACATCTGGGTAAATCACCATCAAACATGTGGCTACATGATGGTATTTCATATGATTTCATGTGATTCTAACATTTTTTGATGGTCAAATATGGTCAATTTCATGTTGGGATGTCTTTTTACCACTGGTTGGTTGATTTTTTAGGGTTCCCCTCTTTCAGCAAACCAAGCCGGATGTTGGGGTGGATCAGCACAACTGCAGCTAGGCAGCTAGGCTCTATGACTGGTTTTATGGTAAGAGATCACCAATGGGGGGCTATAAGTCAACTTCACCGGCACCTTGCAGGATACCTAGAGGGGACTTGTGATGGAGCCAGAGTTGAAGTTTTGTAGAGTGGGACGGACTTCGCTCAAGCTGTTGCCGTTAAAAACGGGGCACCTGGGAGTGTGAATAAGCACAGCAACCAGGGAGAAATGCCAAACGAAGGGAAACCCCCTATTAATATCTATTAATATCTATGGATATCAATGGGGAAATCATCTATAAATGATGGATTTCCCATTGCCACATTTGAGTATCGGAGTTGGCCGTCGCCGAAGCGATCGAATCCCAGATGGCAGCCGAAGGGTTGGTGACGGTTGGTAAGCTCGGGAGCGATTCAGTTCAGCTACACAAAAGATCCCAAGATGTTCCAAAGGCCGAACTCCATAGCAGCCATAGCAATGTCTTTCCACAGTGGAATGACCAAAACCTGGCTGACAACCTTGTGAAGTATTCCGGCAACACCCTTCCACTCTATCAGTGTTGGCATATGTTGGCATGCCATGATGGATATAACCTGATATATATAACCGACATTGTGCGGTCAATTTGTCGCGGCCTTTTACGACATCCGAGCCTCCATCCAACGAAGCTCCCTCGAAAAGGGGTGATCCAACCTGAGATGGTGCCCCAGGTCGTGAACGCTAAGTTGGTGAACATAACTCCAATTTCACGATGGTTTATGGCAGATATATCTGTACGCCAACTATGGTTGGTTTAAACCAACTTATCCATAACTGGGGGGCACCATCATGTCTGAGGCTTTAAGGGCTGAATGACCACCATGAACCGGGGTGGAAACCTCGGAGGCATGTGCCTCGCTTGTGCACCTGAGAAATGTCTCGCTTGTGCACCTGGAAATCGTCTCGCTTGTGCACCTGAAAACTTCCACTTCTACCTCTACTTGCACCTCTCTTTCTACTTCCACTTCTACTTCGACTTCCACGTCTACATCTACCACCACCTTTATCTCTACTTCTACTTCTACTTACAATCCCACTTCTACTCCTACATCTACTTCTACTCCTATATCAATTTCCACTTCTACTGAAAATTCTACTTCTACTCCTACATCTACTTGTACTTCCATTTCTACTTGTACGTTTACTCATACACCTACTTCTATTTCTTTTTCCACTTCTAGTTCTACTTCTACTACTGCTTCCACTTCTACTTCTACTTCTACTACTGCTTCTGCGGCTACGTTTACTTCGACTTCTACTTCTCTTCCCATTTGTGCATTCAACTTCTATTTGTACATCTATTTCTACTTTTCCTTCTGCTTCTACATCCACTTCTACTTCGAATCTACTTCTACTTCTACCTACAATTCCACTTCTACTTCTACATCTACTTCCACTTCTACTTCTACTACTGCTTCCACTTCTACTTCTACTTCTACTACTGTTGTTGCGGCTACGTCTACTTCTACTTCTACTTCTATTCCTACTTGTGCATTCTACTTTTTTTCTACATCTATTTATACTTCTCCTTCTACTTCTACATTTGCTTCTACTTTTGGACAGCATCTGCGCACGGGCCGTGCAAAAGGTTCATTTGCAACATGCGGCTTCTCCACGTCCCTTAAAACTTAAAAACAATTTTTTCCATACTACTGAAAAAAATGGAACCAAAAAGTACAGTCCATAGATGTTCATAATTGTTTTTTTTGTGGCAAGCATTGAACGGCTGGGTGTAGCAGCCACAATTTGTCTGGACATAGCATTTCAGAAGCCGGTGCCTGAACGCGGCCCGGGGAGAATTGTTTGGGAAATCAGGTGTTCGATATGTTTGAAACTCATCACATGTTTGAAACAACAAAGATACGGTTGGCAAAGTGCCATGTGTCAAGTTTTCTTGTACAAAACAGATTTTTTCTTTACCATGATGTGGGTTTGAAAAAAGACAATGGCATTGCAAGCTGATGCCCATTCCCTAAAAGCCTTGGTCCGCATCAGCCGCCGCGCAAGTGGCGGTGTCAATGCAGAAAAAACACCGGCGACAGGCACAAGTAGTCTGTGGCTTTTTGCAGGCCGATGGCAACACTGGCACAGTCGGAGAGGAAGTAGATATAGTACAGGTCGAGAAAAGTACAAATAGACCAACAAGTTTTTTTCATCATTCTATGTCATGGACAATTTGGTGATGGCCTGACACTGTCGGTTCAGGATGATGAATTGTTGTTCATATTACATAAATGCCTATGCGAAACGTGTAAAATTATAATAGCAATAAGCACTTATCCTGAAAGATCACTGCCTGTGTCAAGAAAGATGATGAGGTTGCTGTGCCTGTGGGTGCACGGGAACATGAACGTTATTATCCCACCCCACCCCACCCCACCCCACCCCACCCCACCGGTCACTTATCTTGAAAGATCACTGCCTGTGTCTGCAGGACAGCAAGAAAGATGATGAGGTTGCTGTGCCTGTGGGTGCACGGGAACATGAACGTTATTATCCCACCCCACCCCACCCCACCCCACCATCACTGCCTGTGTCTGCAGGACAGCAAGAAAGATGATGAGGTTGCTGTGCCTGTGGGTGCACGGGAACATGAACGTTATTATCCCACCCCACCCCACCCCACCCCACCCCACCATCACTGCCTGTGTCTGCAGGACAGCAAGAAAGATGATGAGGTTGCTGTGCCTGTGGGTGCACGGGAACATGAACGTTATTATCCCAACCCACCCCACCCCCCCCACCCCACCATCACTGTGTGTAGAAGGACAGCAAGACAGATGTATGAAGGTTGCTGTGCATGTGGTTGAACGGGAAAATGAACGGTTATAGCACACAACACACCCCACCCCACCCACCCCACCATCACTGCCTGTGTCTGCAGGACAGCAAGAAAGATGATGAGGTTGCTGTGCCTGTGGGTGCACGGGAACATGAACGTTATTATCCCACCCCACCCCACCCCACCATCACTGCCTGTGTCTGCAGGACAGCAAGAAAGATGATGAGGTTGCTGTGCCTGTGGGTGCACGGGAACATGAACGTTATTATCCCACCCCACCCCACCCCACCCAACCACCCCACCACACCTAGGTGCGCAAGTGAGTGATTTTCCAGGTGCGTAAGTGAGTGAATTTCTCAGGTGCGCAAGTGAGTGAATTTCCAGGTGCGCAAGTGAGTCACGTCCCAACCTCGGATCAGGAGCATCATCATGGAGCAATATCCTGCAGGTTGTGAAGATTTGACGCTGCAAATCGAAAGAATTCACAGCACATTATTCAGTGGGATGTACTGGGATGATGTTTGGTGGGATATGGTGGGATGGTTTTTTCGGTCTATTCCTTCCAGTGTGGCCAGAAGCTCATTTGGACGCACAGTTTTTCAGTGAGGTGGTCCAAAAGCCAGTAGGAAGGAATGTTTCCGTTGAGCATGATAGATTCGCACGCTTTTTTTCACCGCCAATTTCGGGGAAGAGTTCTGCCCAGTTCTGGCACAGATTTTTCGATGCTATACGATGCTATACAGACTTCCCTCAGGTGAATTACACGTCTTCCCCGTCTTGCCTTTGGAGTTTTGTTTCGGTAAACCTTGGTTCAACTTGGGTTGGCTCACCGATTCTTAGCGATTCTGCTAATTTTTGTAGATCCGTTGGAGTTGATCATGGAACATTTCCATATGTTCCCTTTGAGGGGTTCCGAAGCGCCAGTAAAAAACCATTCGTTAGCAAACCTCAATTGTTCGTTAAGTTATATATATATATATAGATATTATATACATGTGTGTATATATGATTATGTATGTATATTATTATAACATTGTAGGTCCCTGTGTGTCCCACTGTCGCAAATATCCTAATGGTCCTAATGTGGTAAACACAAAAAATACTAAACCGACATAAACCGACCATTTGGGGATGGTTGAAGTCCCACCCATCTATGGTAATATTGGGGATGGTTTGTTATTCCAGGGGCTTCCAAAACCCTTGAAATCGTAGGTACCTAGAAGAACATAATGTTTTCAACACAGTGTTTGCATTTTCCATGGTTTTGTGCAATCTCAAATCATCATGATTCCCATCCTCTGATGTTCTCAGCTTGCTTGTATGCCAACGCATATACCGCTATCATCCTCAACATGGCACCCTTTTTTGGATAGCGCTCACCCTGCATGGTGCCCATGCTGTAGCAACGCGATGCAACGCGTGACCACATGGGCCAGTCAAAAAAAAACCAAGAGCATTTCGAAACTGGCTATGATGCGTCTAAAACGCTGTGGCTTTTCTTCCTGCCATAAATCAGACATGATATCCCCATTGGTTTCGAATTTTGAATTTCGGAAAATGTGAGATCAAAGGGCCAAACGATCGTTTTGAAGATACCCATCTTTTTCGAACGGGTTTTTACGGGTTTTCTACGGGTTAGGAAAGCACGAGGTTTTTTGGAAACACGATGTTTTCAAAATCCACTACGGGTTTTCTACGGGTTTTCTACGGGTTCCCTGAGCAACAATTGGTAGCAACATTTTTGCAAAAAGAACGCACAATATCACAATATCAATGTGGCACCGTTAAAAAAAAACAATCCAAACCATTCATGGGTCCTTTGTTTATACTAATTCCCTTGCTGGTAGGCTTGGATTTGGCTCCAAAAGTCACCAATTGAAAATAAAAACCGGATTCATAGTGTGATGTTCAGTGGTAACCTGCCACACCCACACCAAACGAAAGCCTTTGAATTATTTCACCAAAGCAGAATTAGGTTGGTAGAGCGATGTGTTCCTTCCATTGGGCAGTGAAGGCATGCGGGGGCTATTCAACCCAGGGTGAATCACCGAATTATGACCAAATTGTCAAATTACTCTCTCAAAACATAAGATTCTGGGAAAACACAATGTTTTTGAGAAAAAACACGATGGTTTGATATTCAGGTATGTAAAACACGATGTTTTCAGAAAGGTATGAATATTTTACAGGTACTTGAAACGCATGATTTTGTTTGCCACATTAGGTGGTTTATAAATGGGTTAACTATATATGGTTAACTATGATGAACTGTGATTTATGGTAAATATATCTACAATGGGGATTACCTATTCTGAGTTGGTTTATACACCCCAGAGAGATAACATAAACCATTATTTAATAGTATAGCTTTACCTCTTTTGCTATTTCTTGTCCAATGTGCCATATCCCCATTACATCACTATTAATCACCATTATTAAGTCCAAGTTATACCCATTTTATGCTTATTAATGGTGATTAATGGTGATTCATACCTATTAGTTACAATAATGGTGACCAGGAAAATCACCATTAATCACCAGTAACCAACCATAACCAACCATTAACCGCCATTAATCACCATTCCCATAGGATCCATGTATGGTATATATGCTAACATTGGGGGTATATTGATGGTAAATGTTACCATATATACTATACATGGATCCTATGGGATTAATCACCATTAATCTTTGCCAGTGTTTTTTGCAACTTTGCCCTGCAGAACCGAGGCGCCCACCAATCAGAACCCAGCGCTTCGGTGAAACCCGCGGTGTGGAGTCGCGCATCAACGAGCCTTGGACGGAGTCGCGTATGACCACGGCGTCATGTGACGTAAATGATGACACAAAAATTAGGGCAACTAGAGGAACACTATCATAAAATGGCCCATATGGGCCCAGTTTGGATCAGTTTGGTAAATTTCTCCAACTTCGCTGTAGATTACTTCTAACCATTTTCACGGCGAAAACGTGCAGATGGGGATTTTCTCCATCTTGGGGGGGGGGCCCAAGTTGTCATCCAAGTTATTGGGAATCCTTAATTTTTAATAAGGAAAACAATGGTGATGGGGTGAGATAAGCACCACGATTTGCAGCGATTTTTAGTAACCCTGAAAATGGTTGGTTGTGAATCAAATCCCATACACGGCGCTGGGGATTTGGGGCAATGTCATGGCACAAATCAATACAAATCAGGTTTCCGACTTGTACCTACCAGTACCTGCCCATACATCGAAAGTCATATGGTTTGGAAGTTTGTGTTCTGAAACCAGAAGAGAACAGAAGATGTCAAGTCCGTACGCTGACTCTTTATATTCTTTGGATTTTTTTCCCCATTCTTTAAGTGCTGTGAGGTTGCTAAGCTTGACCCATAGCAATGCCTAGACCTTGCTGTCGCGGAGAACTCTCCAGGAATGCTACCTGTTCCACGGTACTTGCTGGCAGAACGCCGTGCCACGGCTGCAGAATTCTTGTCGATCTTGAAGGCAGGGACCCCCCGGGAGCTCACCGACCGGGTGACCGGGTGACCGGGTGACCGGGTGACCGGGTGACCAGGTGACTCATGATTTTTGGGCAACTGGCTGTGTGATTCCGATGTGGCCATGTGATGGGAAACAGCTTTGATGCTCTTTTGGACGTTGTCAATCATCATGGGATTGAAGTGTTGGTGGATATATCCAGGGGTCTCTGCTTCTTCATATTTCTTCCAGGACGGGATGCAGAAAGAAACAATCATTCAAAAAAAATCATCTTCCCAGATGTTAAGACGCTTTCGTGAGAGAAATCTACAAGAACCTGCTTGTTTTCCATAGCATTTCCCTTTGATCCATTGATGATTGCTTAAATTTCCAAATCATCCCTGGCCATTATGGCCAAATACCATCCCATTGATTTTCCCCAATTGCGAAGTCATCCCATAAATTGCATGATAACATGTGATAACTGATAACTTATAACTTATAATCCCATCAAAGAAACACCTATCTGTGTGGTGGTTTGTTTTTTCCTAATTTCCATCCTATGATGATGATCTGATCCCCAATGCTGAGCATGTTTTTCCGGGGGGTGAAACCACCAACTAGCTTTAAATGATTTTACATCACATTTGTTCTTGCTTCAAACCAGCATGTTCCATCATGTTTGATTATGTTAAACCTACAATGTGAGGCCCCCCAGTTATAAGTTGGTTTATAAGCCCCAGTATCTATAGTTATTTGCGTACCATAAACCATAGTGACATTGGAGTTATGTTCACCAACTTAGCTATCGAACGGGGGCCTCACATTTTCCATCATTTTCCATTTGGAACAGGTGTTCCCAAGTGCCAGCCGCATCAAAAACCCTTCCGAGGTCGACATTTTGCGCCGTGGATTTCGATCCCCGGAGGCCCCCGAGGCCCCCAAGGCCATTCCGCGGACTCTTCGGATCGCGCCCATGTTGCGCGGGGGGATCTTCTTAGCGGACTCTTCGGTGGGATTTCATGGGATCCGACAAAACACAACATGGAACCAGCTATCCGCTATCCCATATGCTCCATGTTTAGAAAGCAAAATAACCCAAATGTAGGTATATATTCCATACATGGAACCAGCAACGCGAAGAGGATTTCATAGCTATTCAATTGAACTTAAGTAATCTGGCTGGTGGGCTGGTGGGGAAATACTGGGAAATATCAGCCCAAAATGGTGTCTTACTAATCATGACTGGTGTTTTCCGGGCAAAACTTGGGTGAAAGATGGTGAACTTGAACATGGTGAACTGACCAAAAAACAGGGGAGTGTGGACCATTATGAGCCAAAATATCAACAATTATTTCAATGGGAATATGTAAGGGAATATCCCCACAAAATATGGTCTTATATGGTACAGTACCTCCATTTTAGCATCCTGGAATTCCCATTGATTATTCGACTATTTGACCAAAAAACATAGCACCAAAAGAAACTGATCAAGAATTTACAACAATGGTCTGGACATACCAACAAAATCCTGAGCCGCCAGGTTCGCCAGATAATGAGGTAGAGGCTTCCACGATGTTTCTACATGTTCCAGGATTTGAGGGTGACTCCAGGGTCGTGTCGCTTGGACTTGACTCATGCCCAAATCACTTGATCCTCATCCTGATCGTCATCATCATCACCATCACCATATTATACCACGAAACTGATATATATAATATATATATATGATCTATGATTACAAATTGTATATGTATGTATGCATATATATAATATATAATTTGAAATGTTTACAGTATATATAATCTTGAACCTTCCTTCGATACACTAAGAAGTGCTCAGAAACAAAAAACGCTCATTTCCAAAAAAAGTGCTACAAACCCTTAAAAAGTGCTCACTCATTTGGCTGTTTCATTTTGTCGGGCACCCCCACATGTTCAAACAGCCGGATCCCCAAGGATTCTTGCAACATACACTGACACAATCACGCTATGCTTAGGATCACGCTGCTTAGGCTCTCCGCAACCAACATCATTCGCCGCTGCTGCAAGTAAGTCATCAAATTCACTTGGATGGGCGGAACTAGGCACTTAAGCTATTGAATATCCACATTTGGGAGGCAAGTGTCAGTAGTGCCCGTACACTTTTTGAATTGCGCCCCGATTGCGCGAAATTGCGCCCTGATTGCGCGAATTTGCGCCCCGATTGCGGCGTACCAAGTTGTCCAAAACGTCAAAAAATGTCAAAACACAGACAAATGTGTAGAATCAATTCTTTTGAGTTTGGTCCCAATGTGCATCCTCCCCAGGAAGCATAAATTAGGAGATAGATGCTAATTTAGATGCAAAACTCGCTTCCAGGATTGGCTTCCACCAGCTTGAGTATGGGCTACTGTAACTTTGTGGATTTCTCCAAGAGTTTTAATAGATACGAAGGTGTAAAATGGGTTTGAACCCCAAAAAGTGCTCATATCCATTGAACCCCCCAAAAAGTGCGCAGACCCTCAAAAAACGCTCAGGGATGGCAGAAAGTGTATCCAACCAGGGGTTTGCCAGAAAAAAGTGCTACAATGGAATCTCCAGGATTATATATATATATTATTCAAAATTATATACATTTGATTGTATAATTATATGTAATATAAATATATATATATAAATGTATAATTAGGTATATATGTCATATCATTCAAAACCACCAGCATCACCAGCACTAGGAATGCTCGTCCAAAGCCGACGAGTACAGTGACCCTTCGCCTGGTGAAAATCTCACGCCCTGCACGCTGCTGCTGTGCCGTGCGCTGCTGGGAAAGCCTTTGCGCCTCCGCCACGGGGAGCGAAGACAAAGGGTGAAGGACATGCTTGAGGCGGCGCAAGCTGACTCAGTAGCTCCAACAACATTTTGTTTTTTTTTGTGATCAATTTTGGATTTGGCATAATTATGTATCGAGACGAGTTTTGAATTTGGAGTTTCAGACATGGGTAATGACATGTCAATGTCTTTTCTTGCTTATTATATATTGTTCTTTTTTGTATGAGTGTTCTTTTTCTCTCCTTCTTGGTGATTTCCTTGTTTTTGTTGCCGTAGATGCCGTGCTGGAACAGAATAGGATGTTGCTTCAAATTTAACCAGGAGATTCATCTCAATTGTGTCATCGTTGTGGCACACTTCGTTGGACTTACCGGATGCGGCAAAAGTCAGGAAGCTCTTACAAAAAAAAAATCAAGAAGTGATGGTAAATCTAGATCGTGCAACATTTTATATGAAGCCAATCCAATGATAACCGCATAATACTATATATATATTATACTTTATATAAATCTCCAAAAAATAAAAGAAAATAAAAGAAAGTGTTTCCTGAATGACCTGAATGGTAGTTGGATGATGTTACTGTACCTCATTTAGCATCATTTTTCTATCTAATTATGAGTTGGTGTTGCTATGTGTAAATCCATTTTGTCGCTGACTGCGCGGCTGAGGTAGTAGTTGATTTGGAATCGACTTGCCACAGCTACCGAGAGTTCGTCTTTGCCGATCCTGTGCTGTAGCTACCCTTGGCTGATTGAATGGGTTACTATGTGGAAAATCAAATGTATTTTTTTTGAGTCAAATCATGTTTATCATCTAAAAATGGGCCATGGCTTCCATCGCAAACTGTTAAATAACCAGGGGTAATTGTTGAGAAAAGAACTCAACAAGAACGTGGCCAACTTCGTAGTGAACAGAATTCTGGCAGGGGGATCAAACAGAATTGCCAATTTTGTAGCATTTCTAGATGGATTGCCGCAGAATCTCTAGACAAACTGGCAAGATCGAGGGGAGCCTACCAGGATTGATGAAAGGAGCCCGCGAGGATTTTACTACGCATGATGAGCAGGCTACAGTTCCCGGTTACTAAGTGACATGATCCTCAAAGGACTTGGATGGTGCTGGAAGTCAAGTAGTAAGGAAAGTCTGGGTTGGAAAGTTGGAAGCCTTTTCAATGTCTTGTCCCAATGATGAACCATCCCCAAACATCTACTGTTTGGAAGATCACCGGTTCAACACCTTCCAGCAATGATGGCCATGGGGTGAAATCAGGCAGCAAAATCAACCAGCCAGAGCAGCGGCAGAACACCTGAGGATCCTTGTCAAGTGCTCCCAGAATATCTTCTAGTCTACGAGCGTCGCTAGACAGCATGACATTTCAAACTGGGGGAGACAACGAGGAAACAACATATACCCTCTGGTAAACAAACAAAAAGCAATTGACATGGACCATTTATAGTTGATTTACCCATCAAAGATGGTGATTTTCAAACTGATGTTTGTTTCTGTATCGTGGATTTTTCCTCAATTGACCCAGGGATCCCACAGGTATCACACACTTTTTGAACTTGTGACATGAGGTACAGCCAAAATTATTATAGGCCATGGAAATTACAAAAAACACTTGACATATATTGACCATCGGCCATGTACGTCAGGATTTTTTTGGCACTTTGAGATTTTTATGATATACTCTCCGGTAAACTGCCACATAACTATGGAAAATCACCATGTTTAATGGGTAAATCAACGAATTAAATGGCCATTTTTAATAGCTTTTTGTTTGTTTACCGGAGGGTAAGTGAAATCATCATTAATCACCATGAATCACCGTTTTTAACCATCATTAACTACCATTAATCACCATTAATTACCATTAACCACCATTGTTTCCTCGGGCTGGCATGACATGAACCCCATGAACCCCGTGCCGTGAGGTGGTGAAAGGCGTCACCAGGCTCCATAAATTGTGTGACATCCTGAAACAAGACGCAGCATAGACTATTCCAGAAAATTGAATATGCAGACAATATACATATATATATACATACATATACATATGCACATATACATTGTATATATATACAATGTATATTATATACATAAACACGTTATATATATATGTATATGTGTTTATTTATTTGATTTTATTTGCATTTTTATATTTATATATATACATATGAGGCATACCGTATTATATCTGCGGTTCCCAGTTATACAGCCCATGAAGCCTGGCCGCAAGGTTGTGCGGCTGGGGTCTACCATCATAGACATGGAAATCCATGGAAAATCTCTAGCTAAACCACCATAGATATGGAAAATCCATGGAAAACCCCGAGCAAATGATCCACAAACGTTGATTTTCCGTACTATGTTCGTTTGCCAAGCAATTCTGTGAATTTGACCATCGCAGTTTTTCACCTTTGTGTCCTGAGGTATCTTCAGAAGCAAGCCAAAGAAATGGTAGTCGAAACCGTCCAGCTGAGGGGATGTGGCCAAGCAAGTTGTAATAAAGGGGGGAACCACACATTTGCTTACTGATGCTTAGCAGGGAATTTTCGGGAATGATCCATTTCATCACTAGTAATAATCATCCCAGCAACCCCCAGCAACCCATCCATTCCCTCCGTTTAGCACCAGTTCCCGCATTTTGCTTGGCTCAGCTCGACCATGCTTCTGCGGCGTTGTTCATTGGGCACTGTCAACTTTGAACCGCGAAAAAACTGGAGCTGGCATGGACCTCGGGTCCCACTTTCAGTTGGAAGAGCCCAAGCTTATGGTGATCGGTGGAAGCCCATTATTGGAAGAATTGTGGTTTCGATTGCGGAGTTGCAGGGCATGTTGTGATTGAGAATGGCTTCCCATAGCTTCCCCCAAATCAGATTTGTTTAGGGCCAGCCTCTGGAAAATCCTTCCAAAATTCATCAAACATCCAGCTTCGGAGGATCAACTGCAATACGAACGGGGATCGCAACACCCTTGGCCGCTCAAGCAAATCTCATGGTGACCTTCTGAGCGCCCCAAAAATTTATTACTATGTGGCATATATATATAAGTAATTACATAGAATTATATATATAGTGGTACTATACATCTCCTTGTTCAAATGCATGTTCATCAGGGGAACTTCTTTGTATTTCGAGGAATTTCAAGAGGCAAATCACAGCAACACATTTTTCTCGCCATGGTTGGATATGATTGATGAGGTTTCTGGCGGAATTTAATAATATGTTCCACATGTTTTCCACGGATTTGTTTGACAATCGTTGGGGACCCTGCTAGGTCCAAAAGAAGGAAGAGGCTGTGGCCGTGATTTTGTGGGGCGGTCTCCTGGCTATCATGTCTAGTGAAGTGGGCCTGAGGCCGTCTACAGAATATGCGAGAATAACGTGACGAAACAATTGCAAATATTGTAACGATTCATCAATGTGATGGCCACAGCAGCAACAGTTGTTTCCATGACTGATTGACATCACACAGACTTGAACCACCTAAATGGGCAGCTCAGGCATCCCCAGCCCATGTTTGAAACCACTGGGTAACTAATATCAACATTGACGGTAGTATAATGATATGATGTGATATGGTATGTGGTATATATATACTATATGGCATATGGTGCGATTATACCAATAACCACAACAGTAGTAGCTCAAATATATTTCAACAATTCATCGCAACTGGCTTGTGGTCTCAAACATTCTTCACTTGTTTAGCCGTAGAAATGGTACCATGACCTCTAATTTTGTGAAACCACAAACCATCACAAACCAGATATATAAATCTGACATCAATCTCCATTTGGGGGTTTACATAAATGGTGGTACGCCCACATGGATGGTTTGGAAAATCCAAATTAGAAATGGGTGATTTTGGGTACCCCTATTTCAGGAAACCTCCATTTTTACGTGGTTAATCACCAAATTCCCTCATGTTTGATGTCGGATGTCTTCGGTGCACCTAGATCCGTTGGTTATCTATCAGCTTCCCTATTCTTCAAAAGATTATACTTGAGGCATACCCATTATCCATCATTATCGCAGTATCCCATCTCGCACATATGTGCCATGATCAAGTTAGTTGGATTGTATATCCATATTGCAAGGGGATGGTTATCAATCCATTGGTAGGGATTTATATACACAAATCATCTAAGCAATAAAGTGAGTCAGATTATGGGATGGAGGATCATTGCAATCATACATATACTGGGTTTTGACCCTAGCACATACAAACCGACACACACACACATATATATACACATCTATACGTATATACAGTCATATAAATATGTTAGTATGTTCAATACCCTATGGTTATTTAAAGTAGCTACAGACCGGAAAACCACCATTTTCAAACGGTAAACCATGGTAAATCATCTATAAAAAGGGGGCATTTACCATAGCTCTGTTAAATAAGCAGAGGGTAGCCTCCTAAAAACTAACATAGATAGATAGTCTTCCAATATCGTCCAGACCGACTATGAATGTAGAAAACATTTTTGGAATGGGGTTTCCCATATCGGTTTTCCACATCTATATTTCACGTGGATCCCCTACAGAAAACATGAATCATAGGTTAGTTTACATATACCTATGATATCATCAATGGCCATGCAACAGGAACCGATTTATCAGGTACCTACCATTTTTTAAGGACCTATAGAAGGCCTATGTAAGGGACATATAATATACCATCATATACCTACTGATTGGTGGCTTGGAACATTTTTCCCCATATATTGGGAATAATCATCCCAGCTGACGAACTCATATTTTTCAGAGGGGTAGGTCAACCACAAACAAGTCATTATTAACCATCATTAACCATATAATAACCATATATACCTATGATCTCATGATATCCTACGATTGTCAACGTGGGAGGTGAAGCCACCGACTCCAAGGGCTCCAAAGGTGTCCCGGGATGTCCGGGAGGGTCAGTGCTTGGTTAGTTTGGTGCTTCGAAATCGAAAACTTCTTAAGACAAAATCAATGGGAATTCCAGGATCCTAAAATGGAGGTGGTACTATAGGCCTTATATAGGCCTTACATATGGTAGGTACCTCCGATTTAGGTTCCTGAAATGGCAATTGACAAAATCAATGGATTGGTTTTAGGGAAAATTTTAACCGGAAAGCCCCATAATCTTCATGGGAAAATCTATGGTTTCCGGTTAAGATTTTCCCAAGAAAACCAATCCATTGACGGAATGGAGTTCTTTGAAAATGGGATGATGGATGATGATGGTTTCTGATTTTTCTGCATTCTTCTCCTGAATACTGCTTGGTGGTATCGTTCATTCTGATTTTTTGCCCCTTCTCCAAACATGTGATGGCACAAAATGATTGATATGCCAAAAAAACACATAGGATGTCGCGATTCGACTGCAGAATCACAGATATTTGACACAATTTGACACATCAAAAAATCCAGCTTTCTTGGTGGTGCGGAACAAGACACATATTTTTGGTGAGGATTGTGCCATGTTGTGCCGCGCCTACCTCTGGCCCACTGGGCTCGAAGGCGGTCGGCCCCGGTCAATATCTGCTGAGTTCATTTTACCCTCTGGTAAACTAACAGTTTGCTATTGAAAATGGCCATTGATAGTGGATTTTCCCATTAAAAATGGTGATTTTCCATAGCAAACTGCTAAATTACCAGAGGGTAATGCTGGTTGATGGTTTGGAACATGGCTGGATTATTTTCCATTTCATATATGGGTTGTCATCCTTCCCATTGACTGACTTTCACATTTCGGAGGGGTAGGTCAACCACCAACCAGAATGGTTTGCCAAAAGGCCAGTGTTCAAAAGGTACGGGATTGAATCTTGGGTTTCTATCATAGATGGGGTCATAAATCTGGGTTTGGAACATGGCGGTTATTTTCCCCAATAGTTGGGATCATGATCCCATCTGGCTCATAGATGGGATCATAAATGGGATCTGGGTAAATTTCATCACGACCTCACTGCGACCGAACCCTGGAATCATGGTTAGGATTCGGGAAATCATCCCCTTTTGTGGCCTTATTTAATTGAGGTGAGTGAAATATTATAATTTACCCAGATAAATGGGATCCCATGTCCAATTTTTTTTCGGCTCCCGATGCATCCCCAACGATCCACGGCGTTCATGGCATAGATGGCATTAAGGCAGCAGGTGATGCGGCCAGGGAAAGTTGAGCAGTCTTCCCACCCCGTGTTGGTTGAGGTTTCTTCGTTGTTTAATGGGGATGTGTCCATCAAACCGTGGGGTGATAGAATTAAAATGATATGATATAAGACGAAAACAACGATGATATGAAAGGATAAAAACTGAGAAATGATGGTTGGTTTTATGATTATAAGGGGCTATAGTCCCCAAAAACACTGGAGATTAGTACCAATCCATTAAGGGAAATCATACCCACCAACTGGTATATAGGGACGACATTTCTGGTTTTGAACACTGCTCAGTTGATCAGCCACCAATCAAAGGGGTCAGATGGGGTCAGGTTTTTGTCTGCAAAATGGTTTGCCATGGAACCTAGCTTGGCCGCTGTAACGAGGGAAGAAGGCTAGCAGCAGCATTATAAATTATTAATCATTGGGGTCCATCTCAATTCAAACAGAACTATGAACCTCTAGGACCTCTAGGGAAATCGGTTTCTCTTGCCTTATTTAGGGACGCCCTATGTAGAAGTTTCTACGATGGCCTCGGAATGGGTGAGGTGACGGAGCTTTCATGTCGAGACCTGGGTGTTAAACAAAAACCCTGGGGGCCCCAAAATCATCAAAACGTAATAAAACATACTGTAATACTGTGGATGGTTGAGAAATCCTGCACCAGTTAATAGGTTTATCATGGTTTATCCACTATCTATAGGGTTTCAACCACATATATCATCATATACCTACTGGTTGGTGGTTTGGAACATTTTTTATTTTCCATGATATATGGGATAATCCTTCCCATTGACTATTTTTTGTATTTTTCAGAGGGGTAGGTATGATATACCACCAACCAGCTGTAATACTGTGGATGAAAGAAATCCTGACCAAAATGATGGTTGAAACCCTATAAATAACGGGATAAACCACCTATTAACTGGTGCAGGATTTCTCAACCATCCACCGTAGTAGTTTTTGTATTGGGGAACCACTGGTTTTGTGTGGCCAATTTTCAGAATCACCCAGTTTCAAGGGTGTCGCAGCATTTTTTCTGGATATGACCTGTCTAGAATCGCAACTAGTGCGTTTAAGCACAAGTTGTGTAGATACTCGTAGCATAGCTAGGGGACTTGCTCAAAAAATCTTCGCTAGCGCCCCATGTCTTTTCATAGCTACGCGACATGTGTTTTTCGCATTTCGAACGGTTCTAGCTGGCCAATCCTCCCCGACCGAAATCCTGGTTTAGTATTGCATCTACCCTCTGGTAAATATACAAGAAACTATGGAAAGTCACCATTTTTTATGGGAAAATCCAGTATTCATAGCTTTTTGTATGTTTACCAGAGGGTATTTCATATGGAGGTCAAACCTATGA